ATTTACAAAATAAATAAATAAATACATAGAATTAAACATTGTGATCGTCCCCTCTCCTACGTGTGGATGTGTAGCCGTGTCAACGTAAACATCACTTTAATCCAAAAGGATGAAACACGACGTATATATATATATATATATATATATATATATATATATATATATATATATGTGTGTGTGTGTGTGTGTGTGTGTGTGTGTGTGTGTGTGTGTGTGTGTGTGTTGTGACACTCCCGTCGTTGATCGACTCGGGTTGTTGACCCGCGCATACCGGGATCCCTTTTACGACGTAGGGTCAGGCAACTCAGTTTCTAGAAACTGACAGCCAGACAACCTGCACACATGACTTGATTTTAGTGGTGAAGGTTTTGTTTAGAACCATCCAGACTTTTTGAAGAGTCGAATAAAGAGACTTCGTGCAGCATGTATTCCAATGTCCCCAAACGACCCTGTGCAGGTTTTGAATTCGAAGTTGTCCTCCTCCTTGACCAGTTGCTATCCAAGGCTATAGAACCCAGTCTGTCCTGCTGTTTATCCACAGCTGGAGGGAGAAGAAGAGGATTCATACCTTTCCCAAGGGTATAAGCACGTATGTGAAAGTAATATTCGACTAGGATATATATATATATATATATATATATATATATATATATATATATATATATATATATATATAGGCCCAAACATTAATATTCCATAGTTATAATTTATTACATTGGGATCGAAATCACGATCCAATTCATCAGACCTACAAATTCAAAAAGAAATCGGAAAATATAACTCCAGTATAAAAAGCAAATTTTTTTTTGACCACTAATAATATATATATATATATATATATATATATATATATATATATATATATATATATATATATATATATATACAGTAAGAGACAGGGAGAGATTTATATTTAAGAACCGATACATTCTTTTAGATAAGCACTCATCCTCTCTCAGTTTTTCTCTGTGTGTGTCTGTATATATATATATATATATATATATATATATATATATATATATTATACGTAGACGAGTACAGCTGAAAGATATGATTTCCCGTTATAAATCGATATTAATTTTATATAACGGGAAAAAAAACGGGCAGCGATAAGAATCATTTTAAAAACGATTCAATGCCATTTCAAGCGCAAATTCTTCTTTCTCTTTCGGTAAACCTATCTACTTCGCTAACTCCAAAGAAGAAAAGATCAAAATTCCTTATGTCGACCTTTTGAGGTCAATAGGGCCACGCAATACGATAATCGGTTATTTGAAACTAACAGACATTGTTGTCTATATTTCACTATATGTAGAAAGAACAGACACACTCACGTGAGGCTCGTTCCGAAAGTAGTGCCTCTCTTCTTTCTTTCCAGGGAAATTACAAAAGATACACTGAATCGAGTAGGAACGTCGGAGAGAATAGAATTTTATCTTCACCTTCTCCCAAGTATTTTCCCGCTTTTTTTTTCACAGCAATGGTGATATAGTCTGGAAAATGTCGTTCACATATTATGCGTTAGAACATGGCTTGTCACATAAATCACTGTCACATTAATCACTTGTTTCGGAGCTCTGCTTTGAAAGTAACAATTTTGTAATTTTTATATCGATAGATAATCGAAGTTGGATACAATGATGAATGACCAACGACATACGAATGTCCCGAACGCAAATCGAAATGGGTCAATTTGATGGTTACTAGACATTCGACAGTACTGGCATTTGTTATTGGTCAAAATAAAGGCAATATTAGCCTTTTTCTTATGAGGAAATATTTGGCATTCATTGACCGCGAATCCAGTGCTATTCGATGAAAATTTATAACATATTTCGCTGAACACATTTTTTCATGAAAATAGATTTCTCGAGTCGAACAGTCGTTATAGTTCTTTCCAATATTGTTAGAGGTTTCCTTCCTAACCTTTTATTTGGAGATTTGCGGAATGTCAATATTTTGGTTTTCTCATTATTTTCTATTCACGTTAATTGTGCATTATATAGGATTCAAGTGTCACTGCCGACACTTGAGTTTGTACATAGATCGCCAGTGAGCAAACCCAGGCGATTCCATTATTGAATTAAGTGGATCACGTGATCATAAAAAAAACACATGAATAGACAGTCTCGTGACGACTAAGTGATCTTTATTTCTGTTCTATCCTCTATTGCTATACGGATCACCATTTCTAGTCTATCCTCTATTACTATACGCACCGCTCTTCTCTACTGTATTCAATATACTATTTCTATATTCGGATCACTATACGGATTACCAATCGAGCGAGTATTATCAAACGAGTATTATTAGTGCTAGGGATATTCGAAGGCGTCTGACACTAGTATTGTTCAACGGCGTTACTATAGTTGTATCTGCGATTACAAAGTCTCTACTACAACAAGCATTACGAAAATGAAAACGAGTATTCGTTGACATTAGAAAACTGGCAACGAGTGTTCGTCGACATCATGTACGCGCGTGCGCACACACACACACACACACACACACACACATATATATATACTTTTGGGGTCTAAAGAGTCAGAAATCCTACCTAGGTTTCACCTACGTGGATCGTCAGGGTACCCATCATTGTATCCATTGTACCCTGACGATCGGCGGAGGTGAAACCTAGGTAGATTTGCCTGGCTCTTTAGGTTTGTAGTTAAATTTGATCTACATAGTGTATTGAGCGCTTTGCTTAGTTATTTTTACTTTACTCGTGTCAGAGGTTTTTTTCTTTGGACTCTGAGCTTGGATTCTGGTCGATTCTTTTCGCCTCAATTACATGTTCTTAGTTCTTTCTTTTTTATCCCTTATTTTTCCTTCGGTATTGGTTTGTTCATTTACATGCCAAAATACCTAAGGTTTTTCCCGACGTTTATACTTACTTATATTTATGATATATATATATTATATATATATATATATATATATATATATATATATATATTTAAAAATATGATTCCTTCG